ATTTGTATACACTGAAATTAAATATTTACAAATGTAGAATAATAAATACCAAGCTACATTATAAATCAAAAAGAAGCTTTGGTACATTATAATACCTCTCTCTTTCCATTTGGTGAAGCTTATCATTCTTTATAGCTTCAATCACCATGTTTGCATGAGGGTCGTCCTGTAAAAAAATATACAAAATTAAGGCATGAATTATTTTACAGGTATAACTAAGGAGCATTTTACCAAAACGCTCACATTAGGTGGGATATACTTGTCATCATCGTCAACTCCAAGGGGCACACAAATGAGTTTTTGAAAAGCTTTCTTCATCCTCTCACGGTCTCCAATGGCATAGTAGCACAGGATGAGGTTGAAACCTGTCTTTATGTTAGGGCTCTCAGTCATGATGTACTCAAAGGATGTGATGGCGTCTGAGTACTGGCCCATGTGTATGAACACAACTCCAATGTTCTGCATGATCTTTATCCTACAGAATAAAGAAATAAAATCACTTATCACAATCTGCAACACACATATAGTTTATAAAACAAATGCACTAAAGTACCAACCTCATTGCATTGTGGGCATTTGAAATCTGATCCAAAGCCATGCGATAAAATTTAATAGCCTTTGTATAGTTCTTTTGCTTGAAATATATATTTGCCATGTTCACTTTTAATCGCCCTGTAGTAGACAAAAATGATTACAATCGAACATTAGAACACAGTTATGTTAAAGTGAAGTGAATAGAGTTAGTTCAAAGGAAGTTTAATCCAAGACACTGACTGGTTTATTAAGAACTTCAAACATGGCTCATCTAAAATGTTGTAATTAGCAAATGAGGCGTTATATGCACTAATTTGCATACATTTATAGTAAATAAATCTTTACATTGGGAGTCGGGTTTAAAATTTGGCATTTAATTGGATGCCTAGGGGATTTGGGAAAGTTTATCACTACATAATTAAAAAACAAAAATACTGCAAACATTTTTACAACATTTGTTCAGTAAAATGTTTATACGATTAGAGATTTTTAAATGAGCATATCACTTTTAAAACACTCAAAATAGGCAATCCTGCACCATGAATCCAGTCAAAAGTGCAAATAATTGGATATTGAGACATAATCTGAAAGCTGAATAAATATGCATTCAAATCTGGAACCTGATGGTTCCAAAAATCTTAATACTAAGAAAACTCACCTTTAAGCATGTCCAAATTAAGTTTTTAGCAATGCACATTACTAATCAAAAAGTTGTGATATATTTAAAGTAAGAAATGTACAAAATATTTTCATGAAATGATTTTGCATTTTGTTAGAGAAAAGCATACATTAAGAACTCAGCTATTGAAAACATCTTTTAGAATTAAAATCTACAGATGCAAACTGATTAAGTGCTACAAAAGAAACAACTGAACATGTATCATTTACATTATACTGAATAAACACTTCATGAAAAGCCAAAAAGGCCAAAATCTCAAAACTGACAGGTGCAAGAGAAAACAGTGTTTGAGCCTGAGGTGTCTTGCCTTAAAAACTCGCTCACCTGCATTATTGAACATTTTGTTCTTCACAATGACTTGGTAAGTGTTCAAGGCCTCGGTGTACATGTCATTGTTGGCATACTGATTTGCTAAATTAAACAGCACCTGTACAATGCATAAAAGACTTTTCAGCAAGAATTTTCAATAAAACATTTTTGTTTTCTGCAATGAACTCACAGAGTATGTCAGATCCAGATTGATGTGGTCTGCAGTGCCTGTTTGTTCTCTCTGTCTCACCAAAGCTCTTTCCTTCCTGCCTGCTTCTTTGGCTTTCTCTAGAGACTGTAAATAAATAAATTAACTAATAACCCAACATCTAAATATTCATTCTAAAAGGTCAAAGAACTGTTTCCGAGCTATACCCACCACCTGAAGATCTCCACGTGCATGAGCAAGACAGCTATCCTCTATCAAATCATTCACCTTCTTTTCCAGGATCTTTATCTTTTCCTCTGGACTGAGCAAGAAAACAAACAATAAAATCACAGAAAATGTTCAAACTAAAGATGTAAAGTGAGATCTGATGAATAAAGATGTGAAGGCATACGTGTCTTCATTCTTTGTCTCTAATGGAGGAGCCGGTCCTTTTGCCTGTCCCAGTGGATCAAACGCAGAGCCTGAAGATGTGAAGGAACATACAGTATCCTATTTTGGACATCCTTGATACTGATATTTTTCAACATTCATTGCAAGTCGATAAAAGTTGATACATTTTGCCTAGTATTAACAAGTTTATAGATTTATCTATAGTTTTAGATAAATATGTTAAAAAAATACATTTTAATTTTATTTAAGGATTACAATTTGATTTTAGAAGACCATATTTTGTGTTATAAACAATCTGAAGAAATAAAAAAGAACTGTAAAATTCATTAGTGTAATAATTTGTGAGACGTTAACTAAGCAATTATGAGTTTATAACTTGTGAAAATATATCAATTCTGAGAGGGAAAATATAAAATGTAAAAATGTAAACTTAATTTGCAATTGTCTTTTCTGTGGCAGAAACAAGTTTTCAAAGTTGTGAAAGTACCTCTAGCTATTGATGAAGAATATCCTGCGGCCCGAACGGCAGTCATGGGACGAGCTGCACCATCCTATACATCACACAAAACACCAAAAATTAATAGAATTTCATTGCATGTGACATCTGTAAAAATAATAAATAAATACAATTTTTTAAATCCAACCTGAACAGCTCCAGTCATTGGCCGTCCCATTGCAGTGCCAATAGGCACTCGAGACTGGAAAAATAACACCAAAAATATAAAGACATTTGAGAAAAACAAAGTCCTTCACTAAAACATGAAATAATACTATGTAATGAAATGCGTGATTTCAGTTAAATGAATTATGTTTACTGATAAAAAAACTTAAACAATCATTCTATTCACGATTAAAATCATCATATCAACAAGAAATCTATTACCGTATCTTTTTTAAATAGACATATATTAAAAAAGAGCATTACACAGATGCTGTATTTGTATCAATACACTCAATACATATTTGCAAAAAAAATTAAGATATTTTACTTTTTGTCAAAAATAGTAATAGTGAAAATCCAAATCCAACTCCACTCACCCCATAAGCTGTACCAATCGGTCGCCCTCCAATAGCAGTGCCAGGATATTTTGCTGTCATCTAAAAATAATCAGTAAATAAAATTAGTGTTTTTTTAATAATCATGTGCGGGTGTGCTTGCCCTTAGTCAGCAACTTTAACAGCAGATGCAAAATGACTCACTGGGGGTCTCCTGCCATGACTTGTCCTGACAGCCTGCTGGAAGGCCACATCATTGTGAAGGTCCTGCGAGGACAGGAAAAAAAAAATCACAATAAAAGCAAATGATGAAGTTGATCAAATGCATGTCAAATTGGCAGAAGTATTTACGCACCTCTGAGTCAAAAGTGGGATTGTAATCATTGTAGCCTGTATACAAATCATCCTCCTCTTCCTCTGGGACAAGATGCACATTCTCCATCTAAAAAAAAAAAAAATATATATATATATACATACACACACACACACACACACACACACACACACACACACACACACACACACACACACACACACACACACACACACACACACACACACAGTTGAAGTCAGCATTATTAGCCCCCTGTTTTTTTTTCTCAATTTTCTTTTTATCTGAGAGATGCTTTTTTCAGCACATTTCTAAGCATAATAGTTTTAATTATTCATCTCTTATAACTGATTTATTTTATCTTTTTCATGATGGCAGTAAATAATATTAGACTAAAACATACAATATATATATATATATATATATATATATATATATATATATATATATATATATATATATATATATATATATATAAAATATTTGTAAAAAAAAAGTTCATAAAATAAATGAACAATATAAAAGAAACAAATTAATTATTGAATAATTTAAAAATATCCTAAAAATGTGAACAATTCTTAAATAATGAATATACAAATATGATTTAAATGTTATACAAAAAGTGGTTAATAAAGAAATGTAAATCTGTTTAAAAATGTATAATGATGACATTTTGATTAAGTAAATAAAAATGCAAAATGAATAAATACAGCACTAAAACGAGTAGGATTTTTATTTTACTTAAGCAAAGAGCATATAATCTCATTCTAAGCTCTTTGACTTAAGTATAAACATATCAAGTCATAAAATGTTTTACTCAAGTATAAAACATTTTTCAGATTTCATATCCATTTGTAATATTGTTTAATTCCAGAATATAATTTATGTCTTTACAAAAGAAGCTAACGTTACGATGGAGGCACAAGAATGATCATATTTAAGTTAAGGGTCAGTGGCATCAAAAACACTTGAACAAGCGAGGACATGTATACAACAAGAAAATAAAGAAGCAATATTACGAATTTTAAACATCATTAAAAATACGTTAACTTTTTTTCTGTCACAAATTAACGTAACGTTCAACGTTCTGTTTAAGTTACATGGCTAACGTTAGTTCGCGACCCTATCACACATTTTCCCTTAAAACATAAATGCCAGCATCTGCGTAATATAATTTATTTACTCAACATGCGTGGTTAACAGGATAGTGTCCTTACCGAGGAAAGTGATAATTGATAGCCTTATTAAACAGAAATACTCCCAAAAACCGCGTCCTTGGCCCAGCAGCAGCAGATGCAGCCTGCTAACTAATCTGACTCTGAGCAACACATCGGTTGCTAGGATACAAAGATGGACAACGATAGACTACACATGAGCGGTTTTACCGTTTTGCTTTTCGTTGTAGCACCAGCTATATTTCTGTCTTCCTTAAACTGTCTTTCAGTATTGCATTTCTAAAAAATGTATAAACATGAACGTCTGCTGCGAAAAAAAAACATGGATTGTCCTTCTGTAAAAGTCCTGATGCTTTTTGGCGCGTGTGAGGCGCCGTAGCTCCGCCTATTCCTCATGCACATGACAGTCTGAGGTCTGCTGATTTGGGGGCTCCTGGGAACCAACCAACCGACTGTGTTTTGACGTTTGTGAACGAGACTGCAATGAGTTCATTAAAAGAAAAGATCATCACTGTTGTCGGAAGGTAAGAGCTAACTTAAATGAGCCTGTCAGACTGTGCAGACGTGATTGTCTAACACAAACAGAAAAGCTGAGCGGTCTTTGAACTCTGCTGTGATGGAGTAATACACCATTCATTAACACCATATCAGAGTAGTGCATGTGGGAAATAAAAAGTGCAATCATTTATAATCAAATTAAAATGAACATGTGATATTGTGCTTATAATGCACATTTTTGCTAGGTTTATATAGACGTTTATGGTTTTTATATAGTACTTTTCATGCTTTAAACTTTTGACTTCATGTTTGTGTTCATGCACTAAATTTAAGTTTCTGTTTAAGTCATGTTTCTCATTTGAATATGTACAGCTAATGCATTGAGCTTGATGTCTACTTCTTTTTGACACACTTATACTTTTTCCCCTCTTTATATGTATGTGGCATAAAGCGGTCTGATTGGCCGCTCCTGGGCTATGGTTTTCCTGAGTGGAGGTTACAAGGTCAAACTCTATGACAACAAACCAGGACAGGCATCAGGGGCTATCGCAGAGATCAGGTCAGTAGTAAAACAGGAAAGAAAATATAACTCCTCATTCATTCATTCATTTTCATGTCGGCTTAGTCCCTTTATTAATCCGGGGCCGCCACAGCGGAATGAACCGCCAACTTATCCAGCACTTTTTAACGCAGTGAATGCCATTCCAGCCGCAACCCATCTCTTGGAGATATAACTACTTACTCTTTATTTTTTAATTACCCTCTCATTCTCAATTTATATTGGCTTATTTAATTTAATATGCTCTCGATATTCTCTCTTATTTACATCTTAGAGCAATCTCTTTTAAAGATAGTTTGAAGGCACTATAAATAAACAAATGTCAAGTTAGGGATTGACATATAAATAAATAAATAAATAAATAAGTAAATAAATAAATAAATAAAATTAATAAAAATATGACCAAATATAAGTTTTCTTTAAATTCTTTGTTTATATTAGTAGTTCAATAAAACTTCCTAATTCAGCTCCTCTGTCACCAGAGGGAGTTGTAGGGTTTTCTGTCTGCTGCATATGACTTCAGATCTCAACCACATTGGCTTAAAGATTGCAAACACAATACTAGAACCCCTCCTCTCTCTTTCTCTCTCTACGTAAATGTGCTAACACATTTGTGTACACCACCAATATACAGACATTCAGAACCATGTTTACAAACCCCTGGAAGATACTGTGTGAATTGAACTCTTCAACATGGTTCATTTTAAATGATGAGAAACAATCATTAAAATGTAAAATAAACTCAATTGCGATCCCTGGAGTTATGGGTTTCTCTAAAACCAACAATATTGCAGCAAATGAAAAATTTTATGCTTTGAATGTTATGTGTTTATTCTTAGCATTTCAATTTATATGAATCTGCTTGTTTTCATTATTTATTGATTAATTTAATTACTTTATGAAATTAAATTCACTTCAGTCATCCTGAGGACAACTTGAAAGTCTGCTGAAGCCTCCTGTTGAGAACCACTAATGTACATGCCCTGAATATAATCCAGTAATAATAGATTAGGCCACACTAAACAATAATTTTCTGTAATGCATACAGAGCTGCTTCATCTAAAGTCTGTGTGAATTGGAAGTTGCTGCAGACTTTTATTACAGTTTAATGATGTCTTTCCAGCTCATAAGTAATATAGAGTAGGAGGCGGGGATTTATTTTTGTGCAGCTAAGGCTTGGAGGGGCGTAGCTAAACGTATTTCACCCAAGCTGTCAAACTGACATCAGAGAAGAACTGCCATTTCAAAACCAAAGCAAATGGTCAGATTTTGATTAAAGAGTACCATCACAGACATTTATTCCTTTCAGTGGATTTATTTACACAGATTAATTGTTCACGTTAAGACTAAAAATGTGTGCTAGCAAAATAATTTTCATTTGTGATTGTAAATTTTGATTTCATGCAGACTTTCTGAGCAAATATTGAAGAGTGTAATTTAGTATACACAATAACACAACTGCACCTGCAACAGATGGCTTTTCAATTATAAATCATCTTTGGAACATGATTTACTTGGACAGACCTGTTTTTTTGGGAGGATTTGTATGTCATTGAATGTTAAGCTGAAGGTTGGGTTTGTGTGACCAGGAAACAGCTTGAGGAGCTTCAACAAGCCAAAATGCTCAGAGGAAACCTCAGTGCCACAGAGCAGTTGAGTCGACTCAGCAGTCATGAGGACTTACAGCAGGCCTTAGATGGGGCTTTCTTTGTTCAGGTATGATTTCCTCTAACGTAGAGGAATTCCTGTTGAGCCAAAGAAACAACACAAATAAACAGACAATAAGCATTTGTCTTGTGCTTATTGAGAAAAGACAGAGCAATCCCATGGAAATGTCAACCTGGCCAAGATAAAAAATAGCCAAAATATTAAAATAGCAAAACCGTTTTAATTAATTAATTTATTATTTATTTATATATTTTTTAATAAGCAAGTATTTTTTTAGTACTTTAAAATAGTTTTATCTAAATGATCTAAATTTATCTAAATTAATTTGATTTGCCAAAGTCACACAAGTGACAATTTCATATCTGTCACATCCATAACAAATCCTTTTCCTCATGAACGGAAAAATAGAAAATTAAATGAAATCAATTATGTTTGTTCTATAGTGAGCCGACTTTTATCCTTGTGATTAGCATTGTGTCTTTTAAGGTTGTGGTCTTAAAAAGTCTTAAATTTAAAAAAAAAATGTAGGCCTTAAAAAGTCTTAAATTCACTGAAATATTGTCTTGTAGGTCTTAAATCAATTTAAACGGGTCTTGATTTTCCTTTGCTTTTGTTAAGCTACCCAGTTGATAGAACAGACATCCAATCACCAACAATCCATCTCAATAAAACTTTTACTTCCTCCCACGGCCGTTAATATCTAGCTGCACCATGTTGGTGTTTCTTAACATCTAATTTTTACGAGATGGGTCATTAGTCCAATGCTCAACCCCCAACCTGCAGGACCAGGACATACACACATATACTACAGACAAATTGTCTTCCCCAATTCACCTATAGCGCTTGTCTTTGGACTGTGGGTGGAAACCCGAGCACCTAGAGGAAACCCACATGGACATGGGGAGAACATGCAAAACCCGCACAGAAACGCCAACTGAACCTGCTGGGGCTCAAACCAACGACCTTCTTGCTGTGAGGCGACAACGCTAACCACTGTGCCACCGTGCTGCCTAATAAAATTTAACTAATAATATAACTGTTGTACACTTAGGTTATTGAAGTTTTTAAAGTTTTTTTAAGTTATGTTGGAAAAAATAGTATGTTTACAACTAGGGTCTGTTTGTTTTGACACATTATTTGGGTAAGAAATTATTAATTAAAAAAAGTCTTTTGATGGCGAAAGTATTTTTTTCTGCTGGGCCATTAAAAAACCCTTAGCGTTTAGCCCTATGTAAGTCTGAAATTTCATCTTTGATGGTCTTAAAAAGTCTTCAATTGGATTTGTTGGAAGCTGTAGTGACCCTGCATCCATAACACATTTTTATTTTTCTTATTTAAAATCTAAAAAATGTTAACTGATTGAAATTTTTCTGATCCCATAACTCTGTGGTGGTAGTTTTAGAAAATATTAACAGATGTCTCAATACAATGTTAACACATATAATTTCTCTAAATTTATGCTTTACATTTATGAGTTTTTACTGCAAATGTCGCATTCATAATGCTGGAATTGCTCAGCAAGTATTTCATGAGTAGAGAAGAAAGAGTGATCACATGAGCCAAACCATCAGTCCTCATTTAATTGTTTAGTCACTGTGCAAGCTGCATTAAACCAGAAGCGTGGCTGTAGATTTTCTTCTGAAATTGCTAGAGCATTGCATGTCTCACTCACTTTTGTCAATGTGATTAAGTGTTGGAATTTGCACCCCAGTTTAATTATTAAGTGTGCTCGGAAAGCTCTGTTTGCCATAGACTATTTTTAGGGGTGTAAACAAAAACAATGGTCCCAATGTCTTTTCTGTTTTACATTTTTAATTTCTATAGCATCCGAGAATACAAAAAGTGACACGTATTGATAAATAATGTTATAATTGCTGTTTTAATATTAAGTTATTATTAAATTGCCTCTTGTTTCAGTTATGAAATAGTTTGATAACAAGCAGGAAATGTTCTTGGGCCAATGACATCAGCACATTGAAATGGTCTATAGATAAAAGCTGTGCAAGTGTTTGTATCTATTCATATTGGGGAACTACATTTATTGATTTACACTACACATAATTACCATCTGCCTGCTTTCTGTCATGCTCCATTTTTAAAAGTTAAGAAAATAATGTCATCCTTGACATTTTAATCTGAAAATATGCATGACAGAGTCTCTTTTTAGTCTGTTGGTTATGTTCTGTTCCATCTAGTAATTTTCTTATTTTAGATCTCTCTGTTAATATTAAAAGAACAATAGACGGTGCAGTTGTGACCCGCTCTTTGATTTTATTTCCAAATCACACACTTTTCTTTTCCAGTTTTTCACAGACATTTGGGATCTATTTTCAATACCTCTAATGCCTATAAGCAGCGTTTACCATAATATTTCCTTCTAACACAGGAAATTAAAAATGACAATTGAAAGCTGTCAAAAATGAGGAAAGGCGCTTCAATGTATTCAATAGCATCAAAGGTAATTCAGGAAAACAAGTTATGCAACATACATGTGTTTCATATAACAAACTAACATATTACAGATTGTAATATTAAGCATTCATTACATTACTGCTGAGCCTTAGGTGTTATTCATGAGGAGTTTCATAACTGGACCTTTAGTAAAATTACTGATTTGTCTGTGACCATTTTTTTCAAGTTGTAGTAGATGTATGATGCATAATCCAGTAGATTCATATGTGCAAGTAATTATTCTTGTTTGTTTCATCAGTAGTGAGGTGTTATAGTTCATGTTATTATTTGGGTCATATTTTTGTGTCATTTATAGTGTCAGGATGAATGGTGTCACATTTATTATTTCTATACTTAAATTTTCATCCTGTTTCTTTCTCTGTGCTTTTTAAGGTAAAAAAATGTTGATACAGCTTTTGTAATGTTACAGTATATTTTGGATGGTAGCCTTTCCTATATTTTGGACCACCTGTTCTTGAGAACCATGACTGTTCTTGACCTTTTTTTTGTTTGTTTGTTTTTGGTCACCAGGAGAGTGTATTTGAAGATCTGGAAGCAAAGCAGAGCGTCTTTCATGCGGTGGAGGAGCTTGTCTCAGAAAGCGTGATCCTCAGCAGCTCCACATCCTGCCTGATGCCAAGCAATGTGTTCTCTCAAGTCCAGAACCGAACCCGCTGCATCGTATCCCATCCGGTTAGTTATGATTACAGTCTGTAAGAGATTATTTTGTATTAGTTTAGGTATTATATTACACATAAACTATGGGGTTACGCAAATTTGAGGCCACAATGAAAATGCATTACTTAAAAAAGTAGAGACTTACTGAAAACAAGAATAGTTCACCCCAAAAATGAAAATTTTCCTCAGCTTATCCAAGATGTAGGAGACCTTTTTTTTCTTAGATAGAACATTAGAAAAGATTTTTAACTGAAACTGAATGTAACTGGTAATTAAGGAGCTTATAAAGACACACGTCAAAAGGTCAAACAAAATGAGCAGTATATGTATATATGTGTATGTATATATATATATATATATATATATATATATATATATATATATATATATATATATATATATATATATATATATACACACACAGTTGAAGTCAGAATTATTAGCCCCCCTGTTTATTTTTTTTAACCGTGAGAAGATTTTTTTTCAATACATTTCTAAACGTAATAGTTTTAATAACTAATTTCTAATAAATCATATATTTTATCTTTACCATGATGACAGTACATAATATTTGACTAGATATTTTTCAAGACACTTCTACAACTAAAAAGTGACATTTAAAGGCTTAACTAGGTTAATTAGGCAGATTAGAGGAATTAGGCAAGTTATAATGATGATGTTTTGTTCTGTAGAATATCGAAAAAAAATTATAGCTTAGAGGCTAATAATTTTGACCTTAAAATGTTTTTTTTTTTAATTAAAAACTGCTTTTATTCTAGCCAAACTAAAACAAATAAGACTTTTTCCAGAAGAAAGAAATATTATCAGACATACTGTGAAAATTTCCTTGCTCTGTTAAACATCATTTGGGAAATATTTGAAAAGAAAAAAACTATTCAAAGGGGGGCTAATAATTCTGACTTCAACTGTATATAAAATGTAAAAAAAAAAAAAGTGTGAAGTTTGGCTGCAGAAATGTGCAACACATATTTGTCAACTTGCGGGATATTAACACGTGCAACCACACGTGTCTACAGACATATTTTGCAAAAGAAGTAAAATGAAAGAAGGATATTGCTGGCCACAGTTTGACACAGATGAGTTGAAGCCAAGCCAGTGCTGATGCTGACTGCCTATTCTGGATCCATATCATAAACACTTTTATTTATTTGCACAATTGGAGAAATAAGCCTCAAAACAAAACTTTCTGAAATGTGCGCTGCTTTGTAAACAAGTTGGAGTGTCTGGGTTTTCACTCTATTAACCAATAAACCAACCTTTTAGCCATTTGGAAAATTACAGTTATCAATAGTCCTAATAAAATATCAGTTTTTAAAATAGCCTACATAATGTACGAATCAAACAAATCCAAAGATTGTTTTGATTTTTGCATAATGATCACTCCAAACAGAGGCTTTCATTTTATAGCTTATAAAACACGCAAACAAATTAATGCAATATCAAATGTAGCCTTTACTTTACAAAAAATCAACATATGAGCCTTGTCATCTTCTTTCATCACACACAGCGCGGACAAATCGCGACTGAGACAAAGGAAATGAAAGCACCCAAGTTCTAAAGTAAAATCCAGTGCTCAAGAAGACATAGTCTTTAAAATAATGACTTCTATTAAAATGTTGACAGAGGTTTGTTAAATGCATATTTTCTGTGGAGCGATTGATTTGAGGTAAACTGCTATTTTTATTCAACAAAAGAAAAAAAAAACATGACTGGAAAAAACAGCCTATATGGTATTTAAAATGATTCAGTCAGTGTTTTTTACAACTGCATTTAAGTGAAAAATATCTAGGACAGGACTATTTATTTGATTCTTTTTTATGCTGTTGGAAACACTGCAGGTGCGTAAAGATGTTCTGCTGTTATGTTCGGTATGCTGCTGCTCACATGTTAAAATAAATCTGTATTTCAAAATGCAATATTTAATGTGTCAGACAAAAAAATAGACACGTCAATTCATTTTTTATAATTTATAGTTTAATATTAATTTGACCGGTTAACAATTAATATTCGGTTAATGAGCATCGGTTGGCAAAATTAACCAAAAGGAGCATTCCTACAATGGTCTGATGAAGTTAATCAGTTGTTCATTTTTTTACAAGATTATAAATTAATGGCTACAGTTTTAATCATATTGATGGTTGCCTAAATTGCAATATAGTCATAATTATCAAACTTTCGCTCTGCATTCAGAACTTATTTTTAACTTAATTTTAAGCTTTTTGGACTATATTTAGATAGGCATGTTAGCTTGCGAACGGTAAAACAAGGTTGAAAAACTGGATATATGAAGGAGAAAATGTGAAACACATGACGTTGGGAGGGGAAACAGTATATAGAATGACACTTCAGATTGCTCTGGGGTTTGCTCTGGACTTTTACGGCTTGAGTGTGGTTAATTAATGGACACCACAAGACGTGTCATGTTTTTCTTGTCAGTCCTATGATCAAGAATGCAGCTAATTGTCAGGCCCAGAGAGGTTTTACTGGACTTTGTTTCCTTCCATACCCAATGGAAATTCCAGTTTATTTACATGACAGAAAGGACTTGCTGGCTTTGGTGTCCTTCGGAGAGGTTTGAGGCAAACTATTCACCTTCACCAGCAATTAGTGAATGTTTAATCCCAAATACCGAACATATGCAGTCAGGCATTTAATCACAGAGACCTTCATTGTGGGTGAGAAATCCAATACAATCTGGAGGTCTGATAAACACACAGGGACAGATAAAGTGGTGTCATTTCCTGTTTTTTTATGTGACAGGTAAACCCGCCCTACTATGTGCGTCTGGTGGAGTTGGTGCCACACCCCGAAACGCTGCCCGCTGTGATGGAGGTTGCTTACTCACTGATGACAGATGTGGGACAGGCACCTGTGCGTCTTAGGAAGGAGATAGATGGTTTTGCTTTAAACCGGGTTCAATATGCCATCATTGCTGAGTCCTGGAGGCTGGTTCAGGTTAGTCAAGTCACAGAATAAAGTCAGATAGCACTTACAGTCATGGTTAGTCAAGTCTTAGATCATATACATAATTATAGATAATAGTATACTAAACTATTTATTATACTCTATATTAAAGCTAACTTTCAGATCATTTTGGGGTGATTTGAGAAAGCATTTAGAAAGGATGCATTAGATTGATCGGAAGCTATACTAAAAACTATACTGCACACACACACACTCAAACTCACACACACACACACACACACACACGCACACACAGACGCACACACAGACTCACTCACTCACTGGCCACTTTATTTGATATACCTGTCCAACTACTCGTTAATGCAAATTTCTAAAAAGCCAATCACATGGGAGCAACACAATGCATTTAGGCATGTAGATATGGTTAAGACGATCTGCTGCATTCTAACTGAGCATCAGAATGGGGAAGAAAGGGGATTTACGTGACTTTGAGCGTTGAATAGTTGTTGGTGCCAGAGTATTTCAGAAACTGCTGATCTGCTGGGATTTTACACACAACCATCTCTAGGGTTTACAGGGAATGGGCCAAAAAGAGAAGATATGCACTGAGCAGCAGTTCTATGGGCGCAAATGCTTTGTTGATGTCCAAGGAGAATGGCCAGACTGGTACGAGCTGATTGAAAGACAACAAAAGTCGAATAACCACTCATTAGAACCGGGAAGAGCATCTCTGAAAGTAACCTTGAGGTGGACAAATGTTGGAAAAAATGTTGCCTGGTCTGATGAGTCTTGGTTTCTGCTGCAACATTCGGTTGGTAGGGTCAGATTTTGGCATCAACAACATGAAAGCATGGATCCATCTTGCATTGTATCAATGGTTTAGGCTGGTGGTGGTGGTGCAATGGTGTGGGGGATTATTTCTTGGCACACTTTGGGCCCATTTGCACCAATTGAGTATCGTGTCAATGCCACAGGCTACCTAAGTATTGTTGCTGGAAAGGGAGGTTCAACATCATGGATATGCAGCCGACAAATCTGTGGCAACTGTGTGATGCTATCAAGTCAAGAAAGAACAAAAATTTCTGAGGAATATTTCCTGAACCTTGTTGAGTCTATTTCAAAAAGGATTAAGGCAGATCTGAAAGTTCTAAAATTTATATATAATTTTAAAACAAAATTATTATTTCAAATAAATGGTCTTTTCAGACATTTTCAGGTCTTTTCTGTTAATCCTGTAAAGTTTTCAATGAGAGATTTTTTTTGCTGTCATTTTATAAAATAAAAAGAAAAAAAGAGACACTTAAAGCTGACGTTGTTTTGATCTGGTTAAGGGTGAAATTATGTTGTAAAGACTCATTGTTCATGGTAAAATCAGTGTAACAAACAGCTTCTCATAGTTATTTGCTTTAATAATATATTTTTTAACTTTCTAGTCTACAGCAGACCATTTCCTCATATGTGACGAAAAATATATGGCTGAAACATCCCATTAATCTATTAATAGACAGAAATGAAAGGGAAATTTAAAGGAAACAAAGAATGAAAAGAGGCTATTGTATTTGTTAAAACCCTGACATAACTACGTCCATATCTGTATCACTGTTTACAAATGAGGAAAAAAACAAAATCAAACGGTCTCTTTTCTTAGTTTCTCTTGAGAAACTTTCAGAATAGCCAGCTTATCTTTCCTCTCACTGGTGGTTTTTGTCCTGGTTGTACAGTACATCTGTACAACAGTGTATCGAATGAACATGGGGAAAGTTAGGTGATCTGCATAAAAACAAGCTCTCTCAGCTCTGCCCACAAGCAAAAAAACAAGACACAAGTCAAAAGTCAAGAAAGCACTTACACACACACACACAATAGACACCTTACTTTGAACTTCGAGAGTCACGCACTGACTTTTTTCAATGTTAATCTGAGTAATTGACATTTAAAAACAAAACTGAAATTGTTTGCACTCTCAGGGGTGTATTATAGAGACATCATCACAAAACTGTGAGAAGATGATTCACTGCGACTCTGAATGATGTTCAGTAGTCAGGTGTGTCAGTGTGCCTGGGTTAGGTGAAGAACACTGCGTGCAGCAGAGGTGTGGTAACATGTTGTTTTGAAATGGTTTGATTGTGTTCCAATCAAAGAGAAGAAGTCAACTCTTTAAGAACCTTTCATTGTAGTTGTAGCCAGTCATACATATTGTAGTGAACTCCATGTTACCTACTTAGTCGAAATGATAGTTTTAACTAAGCATCCACAACAGCATGGATAACCAGATATGACACACATCACTTGTGAGAATTTACTGCATATTTATAACCAAACAAACAAAAAAGGAGGCAATATAAGGTCTGATACTGAGATTCTGTCATGGCAACATTTGGCATATTCATAAATTCCAACTTTGAATAATGGTATGCTTAATGTATTATACACCTGTTAGTAATGAGTGCAGCAGAAATGACCAAAGATGATTGCCCTGTTGACCTTTGATAAGGACTCTCATCATACATAAATAATACTGATTGAGCAAAAGCTTTTATGGGCAACATAATATCGCTTCTATTGATCTGATCATCAGATCATGATTTACTCACCCTCATGTTGTTTAAGAGCTGCATTTTCCTTTGTCTGTGGAGGACAAAAGATATTTAGTGGAATGTTCACACTACAATGAAGAATGGTGAGTAAATGACGGCATTTTTAAAATAAATTATTGTATGTTACAGCTGAATGATAAGACCTTTATTTTAATCAGATTATTGATCAGATGTTCCCAAAATATGACTGATATTTTATATAAATATGTAATATGATAAAAGTCATTTATAAATGTTTTCATGTTACTCAAATCAGGTTTCCAGTCAAATCAGGTAATATATATTTTCAAATCAGGTAATATATATATTTTTTAAGTCATTCATTCAAATTTTTTTTCGGCTTAGTCCCTTTATTAATCTGGGGTCGTCCAGCATATGTTTTATGCAGCGAAAGCCCTTCCAGCTGCAACCCATCATTGTGAATAATTTTTATTTTTTGTTATACAAAGTTTAACTTCATATATTACGTTTTTTGATTGATTTAAGTTGAGATAACTAGAAAAGTTAAATAGATTCAACTAAAAGATTTAATGTTGAAGTGTTTTAATGTTCTTTACGGTGTATATTCAGTGTTATGAAATGAAGGAAATCTTCTTGAGTGGTTTTACAGTTAGGGAAGGAGTGTTTGTTAATCCATTAGATTTTACAATAGGCAAATATTCTTCCTTGAAACAATTTTCTTTATTCTTCATGTCTTGTCAGTTGTGTTTTTGTGTATTCATTGAAGAGATTTTTAGTAGGACTTTTCTAAAACAGCTGTATACATGTTCAAGTCTATCATGTGTTCTACCATATTTGTTTTTTTCCCTTCATTTTTTTTCATTTTTTTACCAGTAAATACTTTTTTTAAAGAATTTCAAAAGATTTTTTTTCTTCGAGCTGCTTGGTTGTGTGTGACCAAGCCTTAAAAGAAGTCATGCTGATAAACCAGTTAAACCAGCATGCAAACATGTTACCTTTTTGTTTGCTACAATTTAATAAAAACAATTACATGAGCTGATCTTATCTAATTACTATTCAAAGACTTTCACTAGTGCTGTAGTGTCTCCTACTCAAGATAGAATCTTTTGTTAATTTAAAAGTCTTATTAAAGCAATTAGCACTGATTTACAATGAACACTGTCTAGATTTCACTACACCTCATTTGTTAGAGATTTTCAAAACCCCATTGAAGATTTATTCATTCTTAAGCCTTTTTTGTGAGCCTTCTCTTATCTGATTGGTCGGTTATTTGTGATGAGAGCACATTGGAAAGCACCCATTTTTGTATTTCCTCTCTGAAAGCATTTCCAATCCTCATTGACTTCACACCAGTTTTTTTTTTTTTCATTTACTGATAAAAAAAAATACAGAGTTTAGTCAAGTATCATAAATTCTCTCATCAGCAAATTGCACTGATGCACTGTAAGTGAAGTAATAAAGAGAGTTTTTGTGAATATGCATAAGTCACTCCATCTAGAATTAATTTTAATAAATGCTGCTTATATTATGTCAGCATTCTCAGCTAGATGAACTAAAGTGTTCATCGCCAGGCAGGTGAAATTAGATGTTGTTCTTTGGGCAACTAGTTAAGGCCGCAAACTGGTATTATGCAAATGTGTTGCACAATTGACACCTGATTTGCCAGCAAGTTGTTTTGAGTGTTCACAGTCTGTTCTTATACTATTTACTATTCGTTTTTTAGGAGACAGTGAGGCTTTTTTGGTGCAGTTTGATGTTTAAAACGTGTTAATACGTGATGTTTAAAAGCCACAAGAGCAGCTGCAATACACACTCCATGAAATTTATACTAAAAAAAGCATAAATAAATCTCACTCCCTCTGCATACTGAAATTATGCCCACATCATCCTTTATCCTACATGAGAAGACAATGGGGAATCAGAGTGTCTATTCTGTGTTTATTATATTTGACTTAATAATAACGTTTTACCATGTTGAAAAATAAGATAGAATTCACATGGGCCCTGTTATATAACTGTAACTTAAAAGTGAAAAATTGTTCAACTTTTTTTTTTTACTACCTGACAATCCAGTTTGATCTGATGTTTGTAATACCGCTCAGCCTTCCACAAAGTCTCACTTACTGAAGACTCGTTCTTGTATTTATGGAAGAAGAGGTGACATTTTGCTGCTTTTTATTAAATGATGAGGAACATTTAAAGTTTGGATGTTGCAGATTTGCAGCTCAAATCCACCCATGCTTCCTCTCACAGGTCAGGCAGCCCTTTGAGAGAGAGCCAGCTCTGGAAAGTAGAGCAGCTGGGAAAGCTAATGGCAGCCCCTGGTGATTACCGTAGAGGAAAGGCCTCTTTTCACGGTTTCCCCAGCCAGTCCGCCGCCTGGCGACGCTAGGATAACAGCCTCGTTGTTGCACGCAGGAAATGAACAAAGACCACCCTGTCCCCCTCCTAAACCCGTCCCCCTCTGCCCGTTCTGTATCCAAGCTTTGATTTCAGCACAGTCGGGCAACAGGTATCTGTAGCCACAGGTAATCCGAGTGCAAAGTGGGCCCAAAGCCTGGCACAACCAAGCTTGCTTTCCCCCTGCCAAACCATCCCATTATTAAGAGGACACTGAGTTAAATGATAAGAGAAATCCAATACAGTGGGAGCGGCTTTAGTGCTCTTCTGATGGTACCAAACAAGGGGGGCAACCTCCGTTTTCCTCTTAATCAGGTGGACCAAACCTTGTTGGCTGGACAAACTACTAAGCAGGAAGCTGTAATTTTAGGATTAGAAGATCGGAACATCAGTAAAGCACTTTTAGAAGCATTGTCTTTCATCCAAGCGCATAATACAACGTGAGCTGCCAAATGAACTTTTCTTTCTTCTCATCCAGGACGGAGTGATCTCAGTGAAGGACATCGATCTGGTGATGTCTGAGGGCCTGGGCATGCGCTACGCCTTCATAGGTCCCATTGAAACCATGCATCTCAACGCACCAGAAGGCAAGCTACCCATTAACCCTTGCTTTAAAACATGGCATACTAAAACGTTCTTTTAAATTAAGCACAGAGAAGTTCTTGTTTTCAGCAGGCATGGAGGAAGAAATTGGTTTGGTGCTTGGGACCACAAAAAGGGAGTCCGTGAAAACATGTTAACCTTTTGATTACCATCCACCTCACATGACCTTAAATGTGTTTGTGTGTTTAGAAAGTCCATAAAAGAAACTGAAATGAGCACAGACGTGTGTAAATGTGCATGTGTTTTGAAAAGATCTCATGTTAGCGGTGAAAATCATAAGGCAGTGTGAAATCTGTAGGATGACCCTGCTCCCCTCATGAAATGTGCTTTGCCATGTGACAGTAGTTCTAACGTGGGACGGTGACAGATGAATTATTATTCTCAGGCCTGGCTCCTCGTACTGCGAGTGGGGCATTACAGTAGTCTCACACTAGTGATAAAGCCCCCTGTATGCACTGAGTTCCGCCCTCGTTCCTTCTTTCCACCACTGTATAATGACACAGGTTCTTGGAAACAGTAAGCAAAGAACTGTGGCTGAACTTTCACTGGTGCATGTCTTATCTACCGAGAGCCCTTCTAAAAGCACTCATGCCCTTCAGAAGAGGAGCTACTCGATTCATGCTTGAGAAATGTGCTCGAAAACAAAACAAAACAAAACAACTTTTATCTGCTGAGTCACTTTAGACACACGTTTCCAATGATTATACTGTGATTTTTTGTGTTATTTAGATTGACAAGGCAGTGTTTAACTTGCAAAATCTGAATTTTGAAACTTGATTATTTGAAAAAATGGCTAATTGTTATTAGCGATGAATTGAACTGCATCCAGAAAATGATTACTTGAGATCACGTTTGTGCACACACAACATAAAACATACTGAACGTGATATACTCAGTGAAGATGTTTTCATCTGTCATTATAAGTACAAAGAAGTTTGAAATATCTTTGCAGTGACATCCCGTTAAAATTTAGAAATGTAAATATACGAAATAAAAACAAACAAAGGCATTGATGAGAAAGCAGCAGTTGCACCGGCATCATATTGATAATGTAGTCAAATTACTGTTATAATAGTTTGTTGTAAAGTATATTTGAGACTATAGACTATGAAGGTGACTTTGTGGGATTATTTGAATGAATCCCCTTTCTGTGAGACGCACATTAATGACTATATATTGACAAACATCCAAAGTCCTTTACATAAAGTCAGACAACTTAAAGGAAGTGGAGGAAGGTCTCACTTTTGTAAGTAAAATGTGTACAAACTAGCAATAGAAATGCATTAAAACACAAACATTCTAACCTATAGCCATTTATAATTAATAAAGATACATAATAATTTCTGTATTATGTTTTCAAAGTCTGGATTCTTTTATCTTATCTTATCTTTTTCATTTTGTTACTCTATTGTAAAAAAAAAAAAAAAAAGTTAAATAATTTTTTAATTTTAACTGTGTTCTGTCTGTACAGGTATGAAAGATTATCTTCAGCGCTACAGTGAGGGCATGAAGAGGGTTCTTAATACTTTTGGGCCTGTTCCAGATTTTTCTGGAGAGCCCGCAGCTAGAGTTATAAAAGTATGTTACAATAGTTTATTTTAGTAATATTAGTCATAATAATAAGTAATAATAGTAATATTTTCTCACCTTTTTCAGGAGATCTGTGAAATGATTCCTGGCGAGCAGGAGCATCTATCAGCTAGGAGAGAGAGAAGAGATCAGCTGCTGATGGGACTAGCTAAACTCAAGGAATGAGGCTAGTCAATAAAATGAAAATGCTTTGAAATCATGGTTTGAGCCCTTGTTGTTCTTGGTTGAATATTTCAGTTTCAGTGTCTGATTACAGAAGAAAATAACTGAAGCAAAAGCTAACTTTACAAATTTCCTCAGAATGTTGCTTTAGCTATGAAATTTACCATTGCATTAACAGTATTTTTAAAAGGCTTACATTTGGAATTATTACTTGTTTCATTGAAATAGCTGAAGCACCTTCTTGCTTATGGTGATTTGAAATTTACAAATAAAGGGAAAATGAAACCATTTCAAGGAAGTCTTTAATTTGCATATTGAACCAAGTGTTAGACACAAAAAACTACATTCCTCTGTAATGACTATCAAATCACTTTTATTGTCACATCACTGACTATGACTTCGAGGGAATTTTTGTGTCTGTGAGAATTACGTCAGTTCACACAATTGTAGCAGAGTAGATGTAGGGCTGATTTTTCTAGAAAAAACACACAAGTCTCTCAATTGAATGTTCATGAACTTCCTCTGTATTTACTGCACTGGCCGGGCTAATTGTAACAGACACGGGTGTAAGTTGTATCACTTGCTGAAAAAGTTAGATTACACACAGTTTAAGTTTAATTTAAATACAGTTAATTCTACATAGCAAGCTGTGTGTTCATTTATTTATCTATTAAAACAAGAGTGGTTTATTTATTTATCTTTTGTATTATAGTGCTAGAGTATAATAAATAATTACCATAAAAAACAGTGATACCATTACTTATTCACAAAAAAGTGGTACTTGAGGCTCGCTAAAAACTAACAATTTAACACAACACAACATTTTGTTTTTTTGGTGTACACCTTGTTCAGGTAAATTGTAACACCCCAGCAAGCATTTTTTTATTTTTAAAAGATGTCTAATAGACGTCTAAACATAGTCCTCTTGGCTAAAACAAGGCTAAATTTGGGGTGTCAGTGAAAATCTAAAAAACATCTAAGAATAGGCCAAAACTAGACTAGTTAGCTCATAAACAGAAATGAATGACTACACATATAAAGTCATTATTTGACAACTAGTATAGTTTTGGGCTATTCCTAAAAGTCTATTAGATTAAAAGTCCACTGAGAGCCCAAGTTTAGCCTTGTTTTAGCCAAGCTGTCTACATTTAGATGTCTATTAGACGTCAATTAAATACAAAATTGTTACTGGGACCATGTTACAACTAACCCTGCTTGCTGTATCGTGTTTTCTTGAGGACTGGCACGCACACACAAACACGCACATTGTAAGAGCAAATCCAAGCATAAATTAGTTCAGTCTTTTTAATTTAAGTCTTAGTTTTAGCCTGTCTAACGTTATGGTTTTAGATTGACTTAAGAGTAAAACATTATGAAGTTGAAAACGGACGTTTTAAAGACTTCTTATGAAAATTGAAAGTGCTTTTGTAGTAGCCTATTTCTAGTATTTTGACCATTTAATCACAGTTGAACTATTGTGGTAACAATGTAGCCAAGTTGTTTGTTGTAAAAACCACGGTTAATTTTCATCGAAGGTTACCAGAAGGCAGTGGTTTAAAAGCACATTTCCTACAGTTTATCTATTTAAAGTTAAAATATGTTTACGTTTCTTAACAAGACACGGAACGCAATACCACATGTAGACGCGAGCTGCTGAAGCTGCTCAGTGTTTTAATCTGCTGAGCGGCGCGTTCCGGAGATTTGACGCTCTCGGGTATGCCATACTCGGGCTCAAGAACCATCCAATAAACGTCGAGGCTCCTCCCGCCGTCAGGTGCACCTCTCCCCTAGAAAATAAGTGCTCACTGTCTTCAGTCAATCACTTCATCTCACTCTGAAGACCTCAGAGGCACCACACAAGTGATTTGCTCAACTTAGCTCACACTGTCGGATATATGTCATGGATTTGATCTGAATCATCGTGTAGCCTAACAGGTAAACAGAAGTCTTATTGTAAAACTATCAGAACTGATATTCGATGAGGTAATAGGGGCGCGTTAAACTCGAGAAAAAATGCTAAAAAGTAAAAAAAAAAAGTTACAAGCTAAAAGTAAAAAAAAAAAAAAAAAACATATCAAAGTTACTTAATGTGAGAAAACAGCATTTGCATTACCGGTCAAAAGTTTGTGGTCAGGTTTTTCCCTTATGTTTTTAAAAAGAAAAATATTGTGTTCATCAAGGCAACATTCATTAAATGTATAAATAAATAAATAAATAAATAGTTAAATATTTATTAAAATTTCCAAAAACTGTTATAGAAAACTGTTATAAAACTGTCTATGTCTTATAGTATGTAGTTTCAAATAAAATTGTTACTCCAGTCATTATTGCTCTTATTACCATTACACTAATAATAATAAGAATAACAACAATTTTTAATTTTAGAGTGATTTGTGAAGGATCATGTGACTCAAGACTGGAGTAATGAAGCTGAAAAGTCTTCTTTAAAATCACTGAAATAAATTATTCAATTAAATGATAAACTACTTTTGAACTACTACTTTTTAGTTATTTTATAGTGTGATAATTCATATTTTGTGCTGTATTTATGATGAAATAAATGCAGCCTTGGTGAGTAGGAGAAGCCTATTTTAAAACATTTAAAAATCCTACTGACCCCAAACTTTTGACCGGTAGTGTGTATTATACAGAGCATTGTGTTTGACTAATATTAAATGTTAAATAAGATTATGGTAACAAAGTGTGCTTACTTCAAGATGTTGAATGTTTTTGAAAACATTACATTTTAGTTAATATTGCATCACAAAAATGTATGGCTAAACCTTTACAGATTTTTGTCATTTGAAGTTTTCATTTAAACACAAGTTTCCGCAAAGGTTGTTGATACATTTAAAACTTGAATAAATAAGTAGCACGTACACACCTCCAATAATAATAATAAAAAACCTTTTGCATGTTTGTTTTGAAATTATTTTAGTGTCACCAAGTAATTAATTATAGTTTTTAATAGTGTTAATTATTATTCTTGGTTTTCAGTTGTCATTTGAAGTTTTTCTTTTTTTTCTTAATAAAATATATTAAATAAGTTAAAAACATTGCTTTAATGATCAATTTAGATTGTTTAAACTAAATTTTTTTTGTGCCAATTACCTGAAACAATAGTTATAATTGCATCTAAATATTTAAAAATATCATTATATTAAAATTTATATTATTATTACTACTTTATTTAATTACTGTTATAATTGTTTTATTAATATACATATTTAATATACAGAATTTAATTCACAAAAAATATTTAGATATATGGTTAACTATAACAACCCTGGTTTGTTTCTGTTTAAAGCAATCTAGTACAATTACAGTGGAATTTGTGTTTCTGTGTCTAATTTACCACAAAAGTTTGCCTTAACTAAAATTGGTCGTAGTGTATGAGGCATCCGCTGCATAAAAGATATTCTGGAATACTTGGTGGTTCATTCCGCTGAGGCAACCCCTGATAAATAAGGGACTAAGCTGAAGGAAAATGAATGAATGAATGAAGTTTGCCTGTTTGCTGCGTTGGTGCTGTATCAATTTCCTCTCTTTCTTTTCAAACAGGAGCTGAGAGCACCAGTAGACAGGATGAGTTGGGGAGCACTTTATGCTCAGCTGGGAGGAGTGAATAAACACTCCACCAGCTTGGGGAAGATCTGGCTGTCTGTCCTCTTCATCTTCCGCATTTGCATCCTGGTCATAGCAGCAGAGACGGTCTGGGGAGACGAACAGTCAGACTTCACCTGCAACACACAACAGCCTGGTTGCAAAAACGTCTGCTATGACCACTTCTTTCCAGTCTCGCACATACGTTTCTGGTGTCTGCAGCTCATCTTTGTGTCCACACCGGCTTTACTGGTGGCTATGCATGTGGCATATCGCAAGCGCAACATGAAAAAGAAAAGCATTTTAGCCAAGCGTGGAGGTAATGGTAAAGGAGATGACCTGGAGAGCTTGAAGAACCGGCGTCTACCCATCACTGGGCCACTGTGGTGGACCTACACATCCAGCCTGTTCTTCAGACTTCTTTTCGAGGCCGGATTCATGTATGCTCTCTATTACGTCTATGATGGCTTTCAGATGGCACGCCTTGTGAAGTGTGAGCAATGGCCTTGTCCCAATAAAGTTGACTGTTTCATCTCAAGGCCGACAGAGAAGACGGTCTTCACCATCTTTATGGTGGGATCTTCTGCTATTTGCATTGTGCTCAATGTGGCTGAACTGGCCTATCTGATTGTCAAAGCATTGCTCAGGTGCTCAGCCAGAGCCAAAGGGAGGCGCTCATTTGTACACCAAGAGAAAATGTCCACAGAAAAGGCGCACCTACAGAATGAAAAAAACGCAAGGTTGCTGTCATCAGCTTCGGACTCATCGAGCAATAAGACTGTTTAAGATGATCTTCAACTCCGCCATCATGGGAGATGATAACAGTAGATTTAACAGTATGTGCTTTGTAGCTCTTTTTGACAAGTAGCCCTGAGAACACATCAAAAGACACACACTTGAAAGCAGGTTTCAGCGTGGCTCTTTCCGAAGCTGAAATTCTTTCCCCTAGCCGAAAGATGATTCAGAGTTATAACACTGCATGGTCAATGAAGAAGATCTGAGGGTTGTTGAGATATATTTGTAATTTTTTTACTTGCTAACTGATTACAGTACTTAGGAGTGTCCAACTTTGGTCCTGGAGGGCCGGTGTCCTGGAGAGTTTAGCTCCAACCCTAATCAAACACACCTGAACCAGCTAATTAAGCTCTTACTAGATATACTAGAAAATCTCTGGCAGGTGTGTTGAAGCAAGTTGGAGCTAAACTATGCAGGACACCGGCCGTCCAGAACCGAGTTTGCACACCCCTGGGCATTAGAAAAGCGAAAGAGTGACTCCTAGTGGTCAAACAACACACACGTTCAAAGGCCGCCTTTGCACAGAATTTGTGTCCTGTTTTTGAAGGATCGTTTTTATGTTGTACAGAAATGCATCTCTATATTTGGACACTTTGCTATGTTTACTTAATTTTTAAATGCATTTTAGTCTTTCAGTTTCCTACCAACAATTTTAGCCTGGAAATGTTTTTTGTTTGTGTTATTTGCTTTTGGGTTTTTAATATTCTTTTGGTAAACGATTCAAATGTTTCACAACTCACAAGGTCAATCTTACATTCAACCCTACCTGGGATTTCATAGCAGCTTAAAGCAATGTGCCTTGTTACATGAATCTGCAGTATTTAATGAGCAATAATAGATATTTCAAACAAAGTTTTAGCCTTAAAGTCAATCATTAAAGCAAGCCATTAAGTATTTCTATTTGGACTACTTGGATGATGCTTGCTGAAGAGTAAGCACTACATGACATATCCCAAAAGAGTAGTGGCTCTGGAGTATGTTATTGTAATACAGTCTTATTTATTAGCCGTTAGAGTTGCAAACAGTCTGCAATCGCGTGAGAATGTTTACTTTTTTACTAGTCGCGCTTCTCTTTGACATCTAGTCAGGATACCTGTTGACAGATGAGAGCGCATTCAGTGACAGAAGTTGGGAATGATGCGTACCTAAATGTCCACATGGTATTGGTTGAATCTTGTTTCCCAAAGCAAGCTGTGATCTTTTTTTATTGTCAACTGATTGCCAGCGTAATACATGTTCTTTGCGATTTTGGCTAACAACTAATATTTTATATGAAGGTCTTAATAAAAAATCTCTAAAAACTTGCTGTTTGTCAGTATTATGATTGCCACTGGTGGATTCTCTTAGGAAAACCAAAGGAGGGCGGTGTATTTCCATACTATTTTAGGCAAGGCCTGCTGCATGACTAAAGTTTTCCACGCAACACTTATAATATATATATATATATTTTAAAATCATTTTCTTTTTGCCAATTTACCACCAAAACGAGTTTATATTAATTTACTTACCCTTCTGTAACAGTTATAAATACTGTGAAGACAGCTATATTTAAGATGTTAAAATTAAGTAACTAATTTTTGGACACAAAATGGTTCATGTTTAGATTTTATTTTAAGTTCGAAAGCAAACAACAATGGTGAGTTGCTTAATTAAAATGATGAATTAATTGCTTCCAAATAATAATACATTAAAATAATTTTAGTAAATGTTTTTGTTATTATTATGATAATATTCTGTGTTAAAAATGTTAATTTAAAAGTAAATCAGTCAAATTGTGTGCTGGAGTATAGTTATGGTGTTGGGGCGATGAGTTTACCCCGGTTGACAGGGGCGTGGCGTGCGCGCTGACTGGCCGATGACTTTCTGAAAGCAGCACTCTTGCATGACCACTCAAAGTGACAGTAGCGATGGCTGGGAACGGGAGACAGCTGCGCTTGGTGAGACCCCGTCTCCACACTCGAATTGCCATGAAAAACTAGGTGTTCTACGAGAGTTTGGCCTCGGGTCTCTGTGTGAAGAACTTTTTTGAATGAATAAGTTGGCCGGCCACTTTCAAAAGAGTTTGGTAAGCTGGCAGTGCTGCCAGGATTTGGGAACGGGGGGAGCGGGGAGGGCTCCTGCTACCTTTGGGAGGTCTGTATGCTTTCATCGCACTCAAACTGTGGCACCAGTGGCCGCTGGATATTGCTTTCGTTAGATAAGTTTACTTCAGTCAAGGTATGCCTCAAGTTAGGAGTAATTAAACTTTAATTTACATCCCATAGTAATTAATGTGAATTTTCGCTAGCTGGTAGGCCATCAGCTTTCACTCCAGTGTGGATGGTTTCTGCCTACTAACAGCTAACATCATATAGACACATTTCAGAAAATCATCTGTTGTTTGATATGACAGGTATGAGTGAATAGAGTGCAAAGCCTAGAAAATCTACCAGACTGTTTGACCTGAATGTGGACAGTAGACAGTTAGTATCATCACTTTATTATATACACAGCAGCAGTTTTGTAATTAAATGCTTAACTGATAGAGCAACGAGGACGATTATTGGTGATAATTATAACCTAGCAAGTCCAATAACTGTAATTAAAATAATAGTTTGGAAACAACGATTTTTATAGATAATAACTTAGAAATAAGCCATATTTTATCATGAATTACTGGACTTGATTATCTGTGGAACAAATGTAAATATATAAAAAGCTGCCTACGTAATTGTATTTTTTAAACAAAAGTCACATAACATACAAGTAAAATCTACTATATAAGGTTATGTAAAAGGATATATAAATGTGAAACAATCAAATTAAAGCTGTTAAATATAAAAAAATTAAGCTGTTTGTAAAACTTGTTCAATGATTTAGAAAGACGCTTTTAATAATTAAAAAGATTTAACACAAAATATTAACTGCTATAGTTATATATATATATATATATATATATATATATATATATATATAAATATATATATATATATATATAGATAGATAGATAGATAGATAGATAGATAGATAGATAGATAGATAGATAGATAGATAGATAGATAGATAGATAGTTAATATACTATATATAATAACTGTTTTACTATAATTTTTATTATCATGTAATTAAGGACTTTTTTCTTTCAGGGTCATAGACTTGATTTAGAACCTTAGTCGATGGATTTGCCGCCCTCAAAACAACTTCATTTTAGTAAGTAAAATGATTGTTTTTCTGCCTGTTAAATGTGTTTTTTGGTACATTGCTTGTCTTTGTTTACTAGTGTTAATGCTATCCCAGTCTTTGTTTGTTTAGTTGTACTGCTAATTTGTGCTTAGGATGATAAAGATGAATCTGTGTTGATCAAATCGTGACTCTGATTTCTGGATTCATCAATTATTTATTTACAAGCCATGACATCACCTAAAAGGCAAATTAATCAAATGTACTGGCAATTAATTGTACACATGCAGATATAATATGAGGGTAGATTCACAGCTATAAATTGTCCTGGCCTTGGCAGTGCTATGTCTCCATATTTCCCTGCATTTTCCCCTTGAATTCCTGTAATTGGCTCTATTAGGGCCCTCAACACATCAATGTCCAGTCAACGCTTTCAACTGTTTTTGAACATTATAATGTTGATCTCAGCACATGCCTGCTGGGCAGTGAAGCGAACAGGTGAGAGAGAAAGAGACCGTGTGTATGAATGTGGTGAAAAAGTGTGTACGAGTGTATGTGTGTGTGTGTCAGTGGCTGGAGAGAAAGCGAGCCAGAAAGAGTTTGCTTACACTGTGCATGCCAGGCTCATAGCAGCCAGTTACAGAGTTAAATAGAGAGAGATCACAAAATCCATAAGTTTATGTCAACGTTTGTTTTGTTTTTTAAGGTGATATTTACTGCAAGCAATCGCAAGGCTGATTTGCTTGATTTTTCTACCAAAGATTGATTAAGTTGTCAAGTGCTTCATCAGGGCTGACCATCGGATCTTATGCAGAATTGTGAAATGCTGTGTGAGTTCACGAGGGCCGAACATGGGTTTTATATGTTCATTTGCTTTAGCTGTGCCAGTTTGAACATACCTTCAGAGCAGAGGCCTAGACAGACTTGATAAAAACAATTTCATGTACAGTGCTTTTTGTTAACAGCTGAACTAGTTCTCAATGAATCCTCTCTGTTCCCCTTTCTCTCTCTCTCTCTCACGGCCTCCAGACTGTACTTTCTCTCTAGGCTAGAAATCGTGAAGCATGGGTGACTGGAGCTTTCTTGGGCGGCTCTTGGAAAATGCGCAGGAACACTCGACAGTGATCGGCAAAGTCTGGCTGACGGTACTCTTCATTTTTAGGATTCTGGTGTTGGGAGCGGCAGCTGAGGAGGTCTGGGGCGATGAACAGTCGGACTTCACCTGCAACACTCAGCAGCCTGGCTGTGAGAACGTCTGCTACGATGAGGCCTTCCCCATCTCCCACATCCGCTTCTGGGTGCTCCAGATCATCTTCGTGTCCACGCCGACGCTCATCTACCTGGGCCACGTCCTGCACATCGTTCGTATGGAGGAGAAGCGGAAAGAGCGTGAGGAGGAGTTGCGAAAGGCCAGCCGGCTCCAGGAGGAGAAAGAACTCCTGTATAGAAATGGAGGGGGAGGGGAGCCTGGTGGACGGGGTGGGGGCGGCAAAAAGGAAAAGCCGCCAATCAGAGACGAGCATGGCAAAATCCGCATTAGAGGTGCCTTGTTGCGCACCTACGTGTTCAACATCATTTTCAAGACCCTGTTTGAAGTGGGGTTCATTTTAGGTCAGTATTTCCTCTATGGTTTCCAGTTGCGGCCCCTGTATAAGTGTGCGCGGTGGCCTTGCCCCAACACGGTGGACTGCTTCATTTCCCGGCCTACAGAAAAGACCATCTTCATCATATTTATGCTTGTGGTGGCTTGCGTGTCCCTTTTGCTGAATTTGTTAGAAATCTATCACCTCGGATGGAAGAAGGTCAAACAGGGCATGACCAATGAGTTTGCCCCGGACCGTGAATCGCTGCCTGAGGCGGACGAAGCTGAGCCCGAGTCCCCCAGAACTGCGCCTCCAACCCTCAGCTACCCGCCAGACTACACGGAAGTGGCGGTGGCGGGTGGCGCGTTCCTCCAGCCTGTGTCAGCGCCCTCCACCGCAGAGTTTAAGATGGACCCTTTGCGCGAGGAGCTTGAGGAGTCCTCACCTTTCTACATCAGCAACAACAACAACCACAGGCTAGCTGCTGAGCAGAACTGGGCCAACCTGGCCACCGAGCAGCAGACTCGGGAGATGAACGCCACCTCCCCCTGCTCTTCCTCCTCATCTTGCTCCTCTGATAACGTACGGCAATCCAAAGATGCCGCTCAGCTTGCCAGCACCCCCTCCTCTGCTGGTGGTGGTTTAAGCACTGGGCCGGAGGAGGGGCACGTCACCACCACGGTGGAGATGCACGAGCCGCCCGTCATTTTCACTGACGCTCGACGACTGAGCAGGGCTAGTAAAGCCAGCAGTGTGAGAGCGAGGCCCAATGATCTGGCGGTGTAGTGGCTCTGCACCTCAAAGCACAGGTTTTTGTGGACAAAAATACAGAGATGCACCAAAAAACAAGAGGAAGTGAGAGGCAGATTGCTGGAATGGGAAAGAGTTCAGCCATCCCTTAAAAGATGGCTGCTGAATACTGGTTAGCGCAGCAGTTGAATGGAGCAACTTATAAACCAAAATCTAGAGTGGTTCACCCAGAAAAATGTCCCTTTAATAAGTCCAATAATTCAGTTAGTAGACACATCTCATGGTATAACAAGCATTTGTTTGCAATGCAATAATGCAAGATCCAAACAAGTAAAACAAATTCAATATTACATGGTTGTTAATATTATTATTGGAATCCTGGAATAGCAATTGATGACAGTACTTCCCATTTGACATTTTCTTTTAAAGGTTTGCCTTGTTGTTCCAGCATCTGTCTCTCGATTTTCTCATTCCAAAAAGAAATCAAAGTGTTGGGGAAGGGAAAAAGGTAAAAAGCACATTGCCTGATGTAGGTGGCCAACGTTAATGCATCACAGAGAAAAGGTCATCCATACATTAACTGAGGCAAGTGAAGTATTTAGTTAGATAACTGTTGTACTACTGAATGGTGCAGAGTTTTAATTCATATAGCTTGTGTATTCTCTGGACCATATTTTTTTCAATCCCATAATCTGAATTTCACACGCTGTTCCTCTGTTGGATTTGAGAGTTTTGATATATGACCAATTTGATATGACACCAGGAAAACATGATCCTTTTGGAAGTAGTTAATCTGATAAGAGG